CATAAGAATTCCTAATGTCGATGCATAAAGAACTGTCTTCATGTCCTCAATCTCTTGAGACGTCTTAGGAGACATCTCCTTAGAGAAAGGGATTCATTTCCTGAAAGGCAAGGTACACTTCTTGGAATCCTACATGCTGAACCTAGCCAAGACAATATCTATGTATGAAGACTGGGATAAGCACAACATTCTTTTTCTTACGGTCTCGAACGACTCTTATACCAAGAATGTGTCCCGCTTCTCCTAAGTCCTTCATATCAAACTGCTTAAACAACCACACGTTTACGTCTGACAACTCCTTCTTACTATTTTCAATAAGAAGTATGTCATCCACGTACAACATAAGAAACACCACCACGCTCCAACTAATTTTTTTGTACACGCAGTGCCCATCCGAACATTGAGTGAACCCGTACGACTGGATCACCTCATCGAACTGAATGTTCCAAGACCTCGAAGCTTGCTTCAACCCATAAATTGACCGATTAAGCTTACACACTAGATGCTCACGTCCTTTTGCAATGAATACCTCTGGTTGTTGCATATAGATGTATTCCTGAAGGTTTTTGTTAAGGAAAGTCGTCTTGAAATCCATATGCCAGACCTCATAAGCCAAGAGAATCTGAATGGACTTAAGCATAGCTACTGGCAAAATCATAGTCTATACCCTCAATCTGGGTATAACCTTTTGCAACAAGCCTAGCTTCGAAGGTTTGCACCTCCCTCATGCAATCCTCTCTTTCACTTGTAGATCCACTTGCATCCAATGGGTCGTACCCCATCGGGTGGTTCTATAAGATCCCAGACCTGATTAGAGTCCATTGACCCTATTTCAGCATTCATTGCAACATTCCATGAATCTGCATCTTTATCTTAGAGTGCCTCATTGTAGGTCCTTGGGTCCGATTCTAGGTTTTCTGTAACTGAGCCCTTAGACTCTCCAGGACCTATCTTTCGGTCGGTAACTGAGATACCCTCCCACTACAACAAGGTACTGTATGCACTGGCACACTCTCAGTGTGTTGTGTTGCAGTATTATGTGATGTGTCTACTTGCGCAATCGGTGGAGAACTGTCAACTTCACCCTTCAACTCCTCTAAGACTAGTCTACTCGCGGGCTTGTGATTCATAATATAGTCTTTGTCCAAGAATCTAGCGTTCGTGCTAGCGATCATCTTCTGATCCTCGAGACTATAAAATAATCCACCTTTTTCGTTCCCTTGGGATATCCAACGAACACTCGTGCTTCCGAATTTATTTTTAACTTGCCAGCTTCCTGCACTAACACGTGTGCAGGACTACCCCATATTCGAAACTGTAAAAAACTGGGCTTGCGCCCATTCCACATCTCATAAGGAGTAGTTTCTACCGACTTTGAAAGAACCATGTTCATAATATACACAATCTTTTCTAGTGCCAATCCCAGAACGAATCTGGTAATCTAGAATAACTCATCATTAACCTAACCATTTTTATAAGAGCCCTATTTCTTCGCTCTGCAACCCCATTCTGTTGAGCGTGTCGGGTGCAGTCAATTAGGATTCAATCCCAGCTTCCGATAAGTATGTCTTGAACTCTTCAAATAGGTATTCTCCACCTCGATCAGGTCGAAGTGACTTGATACTTTTTCCATGAAGCTTCTCCACAACTGCCCGATACTCCTTGAATTTCTCAAAGCATTCGGACTTGCGGTGCAACAGATAAATGTAATCATATCTCGAGTAATCATCAATAAAAGTGACAAAGTACTCAAAACCTCCTCTAGCCTGGATCGACATAAGACCACACAAATCAGAATGAATCAATCCTAGCACTTCTTGGCTCCTATACCCCTTTGACGTAAACGGCCTCTTAGCCATCTTACCTTCTAGGCATGATTCGTAAGTTGGATAGTGCTCTTCCAATGGACCGAGAAGTCCACTAGCCACTAACTTTTGAATTCTCCTAAGGTTGATTTGCCCAAGCCTAAGGTGCCAAACATATGCTTGATTCATACTCGAAGATTCCTTCCTCTTATTAGATTTAGTCGTGATATTATTCAATTCAGTTTGTTGCAGTGTGGGAGAGTTTAGTTTAAGAACATACAAATTGCCAACTAATGATCCAGAACAAATGAAACGCTTTCCATAACGAATAATAAGCATATCATCAAACGTAAATTAAAATCCATCTAAAACAAGTTTAGAAACTGAAGCAAGATTCTTTCTAAAACTAGGAACATTAAGACAATGTCTCAAAACCAAAGTACCACTATCAAAAGATAAAGTGTCTCCCACTGCAACGCTGCCACTTTCGTAGCATCGTCCATGTAGACGGTGATCTCTCCCTCCCTAAGTCGTTTGGTTTCTTGGAACCCCTGCAATGAATTGCAGACATGATCAATGGCTCCAGTATCTACACACCAGGTTCTGGTAAATACAACTACTAAACATGTTTCTATGACATTAACGAGAAAGTTACCTTTCTTGGAGGATGAGGCCATCTCCCGATCTCTCAGCTCTAGATGTTTCCATTGCCTCCTGAACAGAGATCCTTTTCCTCTTTATCCTTAAGGACTTGGAGGATGAGGCCATCTCACGTTCTACAAGAATTATCTCTCGCTCGTGATGGATAATCTTCTCAACCGCCTCAAGTTCCCCAATCAGCTCAGCCACTGACTGTTTCCGAAGAAGCCCGTCATAACTGTAGCAAAGTTGGTTGAGGTCCTTATGCAGTGTGAAGAGTATAATGTCAACCTTGATGCTCTCACAAATTTGAGCCCCTTCAGACTCCATGCGAGCAAACTGCTCCATTAGCTTCTGGACATGTTCCCTTACGGGAGTCTCCCTAGCCATGGTGATCGACATGAAAATGTCTAAGTTCCTCTTCCAAGCAAATGGTTAGGGACTAGCAAGTTGATTTTCTTTTAGAATAACAGATAACGGATTAAAGACATGATGAATATAGCCTGAGAAACACGAAAATATTTTTACCGATTAAACACTTTTGAATTTAACTGTTAATATTGACATCCTCAAAACAATATTAACTTAAATCCACCGACATCTCAAAACACCGAGAGTTAATGCATGATGTGAGAGAAACCCTACACAACTCAACATTCGCAAGAGAAGGGCTTTCAAAGGCCCATTCATTTCTATAAGTCAAAACCAAATACATGACGAACGAAATTAATAGTTAGTCTTCATTTGGCCATGCAAAAAATTCGGGGACCTCGAGGAGAGTTATAAATAAATCGCATTCTAAGTGAATCCCATTTCTCGATCCTGAGTTCATACGAATTTGATTATACGTCATAAGAGGGGAAGGCCATACTCTTTCATAAGATTCCCTCTAATCGTCTATTTAGAAACTAGTCCTGGTAATTACCTACAACCAATTTTAGTGATGTCACCCGAGGGGGAGCCCATACCGCAATTCATTGATTTACCGACAAATTAGAAATGGAGGTCTTAGGAATTTTACAATTAACTGTAATTTAAAATCCCTTCTCAAACTTAGTATAATTTTTTTTTTTCTTTTTTTAGAAACAATAGAAATAGTATATAAACTCAAAGGAGAACGCCGTTAGAATACAACCGAGACCAATAGTTTAATGATCTAGAGCTAGAAAAGCCGAAATAAAAATGGGAGGACACACTTAAGAAAGTGGCCTAGAAGACAATAAAAGAAAATAAAGAAGAAGGATTGCACACCACTGCACAAAGCCCCAACTCCAAACCAAACAGAAAATACCTAATACAAAGACACAAAGACAGGAAAAAAAAAAAAAGAACTAAGCTTCAAGACTTAACAGCTAAAAACTCTTGCCAATCCTTAAGAGCCCGGTTGATCAGCACCTGGACTGGCACTTTGACCTTCTCAAACATCCAAAGATTTTTCCCCTTCGACAGCCCAACTTTTTGCTGACTGACTTCACATAAGAACTAGATTGTTTAGTCACTTATAGAAAAAAAAAAAAACTGTGGGTGGTGAGTCCTAAAAGACTCTTTGATATGGGAAATTATAGAGGGCCCACCCAGACCTCTACAATTCGACACCACAGCTAACATTTATAACCTGGGTGCCTCTCTAGGCTGGCATCCCCCACCTTTTAAACTGTCAATTTGATCTTCTTCTCTGTCACAATTTTCGTTCCTTACTCCTCCTCTTCAGTAATCAAATTATCTTGCTCAATTCTATCCCTTTTAGATCCTGAGGCAGACTCCTCCATCTTAGAGTTAGTAGCTTGCCTCTGTAATCTCCCAGTTTTGCTAACTGATCTTTTCCATGTGGTTACTTTGGCTACTGTCAACTCCTTTTGGTGCTCTAGGCTTTTTAATGGACTTATATACCCAGCTAAAGTGGGTATAGCAATTTCAATTTCCATTATGTTAGAATTATCCTGCACAGGATGATCCCTGGTGACTATATGAGAAGAAACCTGCTCAGACAATGCCAACTGGTTATCCTGCAGAGGTGCCAGATTTTCTGAGTTAGAGGCAACTGTATCTTGCTGACAACTGTCTGTCACAATTTCCTTCAGCTGATGGGTCTTATGTCTCTCCCCTTGAAGTTCAGAAGAGCTGGAAGGCTAATTATTAGTTCCAGTAGTAGGAGTTTTTCTTTGTTGTGGAGATTGTCTGGAATTAGAAGGGCTATAGATTTGCCAAGCCCGCCCCTCATCTACTTTAAGACACTCCCCATATTGGCCATCCTTCAACTTGTGAGATTTGATATCTGCCAACCTTCTCTCACAGCTTCTGTCAAGATGGCCTACAATTCCACAATAATAGCAAAGATTTACTAGTCTCTCATATTTGAAGCCCACTGTGGCTATGTCTTCCCCCAGTCTTATTAGTACATCTAGGCAGAGGTTCAAAGATGTTAACGGTCGCCAACAATATAAGAATTTTCCCCCCATGAGCACCAGAGTTCACAACGACGACATTCTTAACTTCCTGAAACACTTTGCCCAACTTCAGAGCTAAGACAATCTAGGGGGAGATTAATTACCTGAGCCCAAATGTTCAGCTCCTGGAAGCTGCGGTGCTTGCTAGTAAGGCCCTTCTCCCATTCCTTCAAGATATGATATTGGTTATCATATATCCAGTTAGTCCCACTTGCCACTCTTTTCATATCTTCACGGCTTTGAAATATGAATTGAAACAAATTATAACCAAGCTCTTTCACTTCCATAGATTGCTGCAGTCTCCATATGTTATTCGTAGTTCTTTTAATTCCAATCCAGCTAGCAGCTCGGTTGCCAACAATTTTTTTCGAACAGACTTCGACTGCATTCATCAGCACTGAGCCGTATATCTTCATGTTTGATATCAATCACTAGCGATTCTTTAACAGATAGAGAAAATCCTCACAGGCGGTTCGCCAATTCTTCGTCTCGCCCAACACAATTAGGTTCTGCCATGAAAATCTTATCGAAGAAGCTCTAATGGATACTACCAAAACCAATTACAGATTCAGGATGAGTAGAATGAAGATGAAGAATCGATCGATCCCATAAGAGATAATCTCAAGAACCGCTCCCATAAGAGAGAATTTGACTGATCAATGTTAAACTTAGTATAATTTAAATGAGGATTTTTACTTATTTAAATAATTATGCAATTCTAAATTAATTCTATGTAAATGCAATAATTAATTACTGTACATAAATAAATATGCGATTCTAAATTAATCTCATGCAAATACAATAATTAATTAACATGCACAAATAAATAAATAAATAATGGCATAATGATTTAAAATAAATAAATCCACTATTATGGCCATTAAATATTGAGTTCCCATAAACAAGGAAACCTTGTATATTCTTTCCATGTCCAACTGGAACTCCCACTTCAGTAGAATACTTGTAGATCTTTTACTGCTTGGACACCAAGTAAAACCAGTCCATCGCCACAAAGCCCGCCGTCCGCCGCCGCCACTGGCCGCCGGCCGCCGCCGTCGGTGGCCGGAAAATCGCCAGCGGCCTAAATTAATTTTTTTTTGTTCTCCGCGCACGTGATCTCCGGGACAAGGCTGTCGTCCGCCGCCGCCTGGCCTGCTCACGCGCGCGACTCCCAACGACAAACGCGCGCGACTCCCAAAGAATGGATGTACATGTTTTCTAAACAAATATATAAATCTATCCGGTCAACCTCCGGACGAATAATTATTACAAACATTCATCCATAAATTCCTCGACATGTCGAGGCTTTAAAAACAAATTTAAAACCATACATCACATTCATCGACATTCACCAAACACATATTCGACCATAATAGTGGATTAAACTAATTCCTACAAAACCGAGTTATGCGAATATAATCCAATATATGGTTGTGTCTGAACACATCATGGCATATAAAGTCGTAAAAATTTTAATTTGTACACAACGAATTAAACCAAGTGCTCTGATACCACTTGTTAGGATCTGTGAGGATCTTGTTATGTACTTTTCATGAATTCAATAACAAACGTAAACCTATGCACAACGGATCTAAAGGTTTGCGTAGAAAATTTAAGGCTTAAAATTTATGGCGATCTGGTTGATCTTTTAGATGGTCGTACATAGCACACCAATGAATAGTTGACTGCAAATCAACTAGGGTTGCACGAACAAGATCGGATCGAAAACTGGATCAAATGGGTGCAAAACGGATGAAGACAAGCTTACAATCTGGGACACTCCGGCGATGCGTGAGGACCCGTGCAGCGTCGTACAGCGGCGATCTCAGAGGCGATGCAAAGATCTCGTGGAGATGGTCGTCTGGGTATGTTGCACTCCTTGATCGGACCTCCGGTTAGATATGTACGAACAAATATATTTCGTCTCGGTTTACATACAGATCTTTTACTGTATATCTCAAACACCTCTTAATCTCGTACCGGTAGAAGAACAAGAAGAAGATAAAAAGCTTGTGGGAACTGAGAGAGAATATGGGGGCGGCGGTTTAGGCTTGTGATTATGAACATGTGTTCTTTTCCCATGAGTTTAATGATGTATATATAGAGAGCTACAGTAGGGACCCTTAGGAGATTAGGTTAGGGCTCCTTAATTAATTAAAATACTTTTGGACCAATCCACTTATTTTAATTAATGAAATAATATTAAATGGGCCACCAACATAATATTATTGTACTCCCTTTTCCTAGTCCAATTTATAATTGAAACTCCAATAATAATTACTCGATTTATCTCCTCATGTTTAAGATATAATGTTTATTAATTAATTCGATTACTGACAATCAAGAATTAATTAATTTATTATTATTTCACCGAAGCTAGCTCATTCATCACATTATTACTATGTCGGAATTTAATCCACCTGAAGTGTTTAGCATAATAATCCTTCATGAACTCACTCTGGGGACATCATCAAGCTAATGCACATGGTGACCGTAAATATCCTAACAGCACATCCTACATGCAACAATATTACACAAGACAGCGGGTCTATTGCCCCAGTTCACTAAGCCTCACCCATGTGAATCAAAGTAATAAGTACTACACATATATGCTTGTTTCATATCTTACGGGTTAAGAGCACGCAGTAATTAATCGAGGCCTAGTTCATTTACGACGATCAGTACAAAACGAACTGCTCATCTCTGGGATCCTATTCAACACATAAATGTACCAGTGCAACTAATCAATCAAGACAAACGTACGGTTGACACTACCACCGTTCATGATGGGGTGTTCATGTCCATCTGGGTTGTGAACCATTAATTCTTGTTTCATGAGTAACTTATAGTATGATCTTCGGTTCGCCCGATGACAACCCACACTATCTAATGCAAAACAACAGAACGTAAAACTTGTTTAATCTAACATGTTTCTCATTCATAAAGGGTAAAAGTGCAATATCATCCAAAGCCAAGCTTTCAGTATATAACACTAACAATATGCCTTGAACACCCACTATCAAGATTCCATTTCCCTTCAAGTAAGGTTCTAAGAGACAATACCGAAGCAAAACAACTAAAGGAATTCTTTGCAACCCACACTTGTCGAATTTTAGAGAATTTTTTAGGGGAATTCACTGCACGAACGTTCACAGGAATACCGGAGCGACTCCAGTTAACAACTTTACCTGAGCAAAGATCATGCTGCATTTATAGCATTGGGTCTGATGTGACCAGTTATTCCACAGTAATGACAAATGGGGACAAAATTACGAGGGGATTTACTTACAGATTCCTGAACAGGTACATGAACCTTCACATCTGATTTAGGTGCAGAAGACTTATTTACAGTGATTTTTACAAACCTGCCAAACAGGTTGCGAGATTCTTTCCCCTGAAGACTCGTACCTTCAATACCATACTTCTCTGAGCATCCAAGACCTGGGAGATTGGTTTTGATTGTACCTTCAGAGAGAGGAACAGTTTTGTCAACTTTACCAGTGTATCCTATTTCGGTGAGATCATTATATTGTCTTCTCATGGAGAGAAGTTCATTTCGATCCACTTCCTTGTGTTCAATTTTTGAACAGCCTCAGTAGTACGTTCCAACTCTGCCGAGTTCGCACTCAGTTTGCTCTGCATGCTCAAGTGTTTATTCATGAGTTGGCTAACTTCATTCTTAAGCTTTAATATTTCCTTGTTCCGATCAGCAAGAAGTTTTTGAGTTGAGAATAGTTCAGACCTCAAGCATTCAATGGTCTCAGTCTTTTCCAACCCATCTTGTTTAGCAAGTTTGACACTACCTTTAGAGATTCGTCTGTGCCTTCATCATCTGAATCTTCCCATTTTGCCTTTAGAGACTTATTCTTTTTCTTAAGATTAGCACACTCATACTGAAAGTGCCCAAAACCACAATACTCTCTGCATTGGTCCTTTTCAATTCATTGTGAGTCAGGTTTCAAGAAAGTCGTACAATTCTTCATGTCTTGAAACACATTCTTGCTGGAATTGTTGGCTTTCCTCCTAGCAAACTTATTCTTGTACAGCTTCTGACTTATCTTTCTGTAGTTTCTAGTAATGAGTGCAAGGGCCTTTTTCAGCTTGTTGTCGTCCACCGTCGAACCTTCATCGTCATCGTTGTCTTCTTTCTCCTCAACTACAGCGGCATTGAGAGCTAGTCTCTTTTTTTGACTTTGTCAAAATTATTGTTGATCTCAAATGTCCTCAGTTTGCCAAGGAGATCATCAACATCCAGAGGTGCAATTCTTTGGAAGCTCTCAAGAGCTTTAATTTTTTTCCTGAACCTGGGAGCAACTGTTCGCATAATCTTTTGAACTTGACGATTCTCGGAGACTTCTTCTCCAAGCATTGCACTTTGATTCACCAGATCACAGAATCTGGCATAGTATATATCAATTGTTTCTTCATCCCGCATTCTGATTTCATCAAATTCAAGAGTCACCCGTTGAAGTCTGGACGCCTTGACAGCCGTTGAACCTTCAAATTTGTTGTTGTAAGGTCCGCCAAGCATCTTTCGCAGTCTTGCATTGAACTATCATCTAGTGTCTTGTCTGATCCACTGCCATCATTATCGTATACATGGCATAGTAGTTGGCTTCTTCTTGAAGTTTCTCTGCATCTGTCCAGTTATCTTTTGGTTTAAGTATCGTAGTCGTCGTAGCTCATTTTCCTTGATCTGGTGCTTCTGGGATGACATGATGCTCCCATCCTTTTTCAACACTTTCCTATGCGCCTCTTCCAAACGATCTTAGAAAGATCGTTATCATAGATTTCCAATACGAGTAGTTGGAACCATCCAATTGCGGAGGCCTAAACATCGAACCACTTTCTTGATTCATTATTTCCCAGTAATACAAGTCCTTAGATCTTTCGTAATCCAAACGAAAAACCGCTCTGGTGCCAATTGAAATTTGATACTTGTAAACTAAGTATCCATAGTTGCATACAAATTAATCAAACAGAACTCAAAGAAGATTTAAGCAATATCACTATAAATTAAACCTTAAGGAGAGCGTCTCACTCTCCCTTCGGATCTCTTTCATTAATCTAAATATCCCCAAAAATTATTCAAGGATTTACAGTATAGACTCCCTCTACACTCTACTTGAAAAATAATCTGCACTACTACTTATCGACCACAAATCCCTTGTGGTTTTTCTTATTTAAATCCCTTAAACTCTATTTGAATGAACCTCCATCCACTCTCTATTTTCTGTCACACAAAACACACTGGCTATTTTCACTTCACTTCAAAAAATAAAAATCAATTCAGATACTACTCAACAAAAGGTAATCAAAAGTGCTCCTCAACATGTGTCTCGTCCTCCTTTTATCTTCGAGCTAAGTTTGGTAAGTCTTATCTCTAGCTTTCGCTCCAAGTCAGGATGTACTTAAGGTAAGTCTTTTGATGCTCAAAGTTGCGATCTCTCTGTCGTAATTATGGAATGTGAATCCGGAGTTTATTCCCATAGTCTTGCCATAATAAACACGTATTATCAATAATCAACTCCAATTTAAAAATTCTTTCAAGCAAATAAACCAAACTTCCCTTAAACATTATTGCGATTGTCTGAATCCTGGGAACTCAAGAAGGTTCGTCGATTTACTGCCAATCTTCAGAACTTACAGAGACATTATTTTATCTTTTGATACTAGTAGTTTGGTTTCGAGAAATTTCCTTCATGTTCCTAGTTTTAGAAAGAACCTTGTTTCAGTTTCTAAGCTTGTTTTGGATGGTTTTTCATTTACGTTTGATGACTTGGTTATTATTCGCTATGGAAAACATTTTATTTGTTCTGGTTCATTAATTGGCAATTTATATGTTCTTAAACCAAACTCTCTCATACTGCAACAAACGGAATTGAATAATTTCATGACTAAATCTAATAAGAGGAACGAGTCTTCGCAGATGAATCAAGCATATCTTTGGCACCTTAGACATGGACACAACAACCTTAGAAGGATTCAAAAGTTAGAGGCCAATGGACACCTCGGTCCATTGGAAGAGAACTATCCAACTTGCAAATCGTGCCTGGAAGGTAAGACGGCCAAGAGGCCGTTTACGGTAAAGCGGTATATGAGCCAAGAAGTGCTAGGATTGATTCAATCTGATTTGTGTGATCCTATGTCGTTCCAGGCTAGAGGAGGTTTCGAATATTTTTTCTCTTTTATTGATGATTACTGGAGATTTGGGTACATGTATCTATTGCACCGCAAGTCCGAATGCTTTGAGAAATTCAAAGAGTATCGAGAAGTTGTGGAGAAGCATCATGGTAAAAGTATCTAGTCGCTTCGAACTGATCGAGGTGGCGAATACCTCTTTGGAGAGTTCAGGACATACTTATCAGAAGCTGGGATTGAATCCCAACTGACTGCATCCGGCACATCTCTGCAGAACGGGGTTGCAAAGTTATGAAATTGGACTCTTATGGAAATGGTTAGGTCGGTGATGAGTTATTCAAAGTTACCAGATTCCTTCTGGGATATGGCGTTGGAAACAACATCGTATATCCTGAACATGTTTCCTTCAAAGTCAGTTGAGGCTACTATTTATGAGATGTGGAAAGAGCGAAAGCCCAGTTTCTCACAGTTTCGAGTATGGGTAGCCCTGCACACGTGTTAGTGCAGGAAGCTGGCAAGTTAGAGAAACGTTCGGAAGCACGAATGTTTGTTGGCTATCCCAAGGGAACGAAAGGTGGATTATTTATGGTCCTGAGGATCATAAGGTGATTGTTAGCACGAATGTTAGATTCTTGGAAAAAGACTATATTTTGAATCAAAAGCCCGTGAGTAGACTAGTCTTATAGGAGTTGAGGGGTGAAGATGACAGTTGCCCACCGAGTGAACAAGTATAAACAACACATAATACTGCAACACGACACACTGAGAGTGTGCCAGTGCAGACAGTACCTCATCGTAGTGGGAGGGTTTCTCATTTACCCGACCGATGGATAGGTCTTGGAGAGTCTTCGAACTCAGTTCCAGTAAACCTAGAATCGGACACAAGGACCTACAACGAGGCACTCGAAGATAAAGATGCAGATTCATGGAATGTTGCAATGAAAGCTAAAATGGGGTGAATAGACTCTAATCAGGTTTGGGATCTTGTAGAACCACCCGATGATGTATGACCCATTGGATGTAAGTGGATCTATAAGAGAAAGAGAGGCCCGGATGGGGAGGTGCAAATTTTCAAATCTAGGCTTGTAGCGAAAGGTTATACCCAGATTGAGGGTATTAACTATTATGAGACCTTTTAGCTAATAACTATGCTTAAGTCCATTCGGATTCTCTTGGTGTAGGCCCTCATATGGAATATGAGGTCTGGCAGATGGATGTCAAGATGGATTTTTTTAACAGAAACCTTCTGTAAGACATCTAAATGTAGCGACAAGAGGGTTTCATTTATAAGGGACATGAGCATCAAGTGTGTAAGCTTAATCGGTCCATTTTTTGACTGAAGCAAGCTTCGAGATCTTAGAACATCCGGTCTGATGAGGTGATCCAATCATACGGGTTCACTCAATATGCAAATGAGCACTATGTTTACAAGAAAATCAGTGGGAGCGTGGTGATATTTCTTATGCTTTACGTAGATGACATACTTCTTATTAAAACAATAACGAGGATTGGTCAGACGTAAAGATGTGGTTGTTTGAGCAAGTTGATATGAAGTATTTGGATGAAGCAGAACACATTCTTGGTATTAGGGTCGTTCGAGACCGTAAGAAGAGAATGTTGTGTTTATCACAGTCATCATACATAGATACTGTATTGGCAACATTCAGCATGCAGGATTCCAAGAAAGGTACTTTACCTTTCAGGAAAGGAATACCTCTGTCCAAAGAGATGTCCCCTAAGACGTCTCAAGAGATAGAGGACATAAAGACAGTTCCTTATGCTTCGGCAGTAGAAAGTCTCATGTATGCTATGCTCTGTATGAGGCTAGATTTTAGCTACGCTGTTGGCTTGGTAGCTAGATATCAAAGTAATCTGAGACGAAAACATTGGTCTGCGGTGAATCATATTCTCAAGTACCTGAGAAGGATTAAGGAGTGCATGTTAGTCTACAGTGCAGACAGCTTGTTACCTCTGGGTTACAGTGAATCTAATTTCTGGTCAGATAGGGACGAGAGTTAGTCAACCTCAGGTTATGTGTTTACCTTGGGACCATGGAAGCCGAGTACATAGCAGCCTCAGAGGCTTCAGCTCAGAAACTTCTTAGTG